TTACTGAAAGATACACTTTTGTGTATAAAAGCTGAAAAGTAGATAATGAAGTACTTTGTATTAGTAGATTTTGTTAAGAATCTGACTCTTAATGGCAGTTTGTGATTTTAAGACTTTTTACAGACACTCTGCAGATTTATGTGTAATTCTCTCACAAAGGAAACAGTAAGTCTCTTGCTTTTTTTATATGTATGACAACTTACAACTCATAGAAAGTTAAGTACTTTTTCTGAACAGATTTTCTTTAAGACTGTGACTCTTAAAAAAAAAAGAGTCACCCCCTTTTCAACGCCCTCCCCCTGCAGCAGCTCAGGTGTGAAACCCCCATACAGAATGTCAGTCCCTGTGTAAAACTTTTTAGTGACACTCTGCAGATTTGTATGTAATTCTCTCACAAAGGAACTGTAAGATACACTTTTTATGTATGCAAAACCTTAAACATTTCTGAAAATAAAATACTTTATCTGAATACATTTTCTTTAGAGGCACTTTTTGATTTTAACACTATTTCAATGGAGCAATCCAGTTTTGTTGACATTAATGCTTTATTCTCTTTTCTTGTGTTACTAAGATACTTTTAGTTACACTTTAATGGATGCAAACCTTTTTAACCGGGTAAAATATTCATTAATTTGTAAGGAATTCGTTTTCTTTATGTTTGTGATTTTAACACTGTTTCGATGAAACACAGCAGTCTTGATAACTTGACATGACTAACATTACTTTTCTAAAATATATGTTTTTTAGAAGCGTTACTTTGATTTCTTCCATGTTATTTTGAACACATTACTTTTCATATTTTTTCAACATACTGTGATATTTTGTTTTTTGTCTTTCTCTCCTTTTTCCATTATATTTTTTGAAAAACTACATAGTGATTTCTAGCAAAATACAACATGCAACTAATACATTATACAAAATTACGACTTTTTGCGATATTTTCAACACAATATACTTGTACCTTTTTTTTACAGGGCTTCAAGATATTTTGCATGTCATGCATAAACACGGTGTCGTCTTTCTTGAAACTGACGTGCTGTCCGTTTTACAAAACAAGTTATGTTTTCTGCTTCTTCATCCTCTGAATGTTCCTCCCCCGTCCCTCTTCCTTCACCCCTCACAACAACAATCAAGGTGGATCTGTGAAATGAAACACCTCTTCCCAAAGCGTGACTTCCCTATTGAGGGCATGCGTCTAGGGCAGTAGGGTCTAAATCGATTGGCCAGATATACTAACATGCAGAACGTACGGTATGTTTGAAAAAAGACTAACTAGATACAGGTCAAGAAAATGCATAGAGGAGGTATGGTGCTGGCTCATTAGCCCTCTCACTCTTCTTAGAATGATCCTGTGCAATTATAGTTAATAAAAGTAATTACACATTAGTTCACAAATCCATACAACTAAAAGATAATATCCTTAGGTATCACTATTAAAACCTAAATAAGATCTTTTGAAAATAACCTCTTTGCAAAACAGATACTTCTTTAAGAGTTTCACAAAAACTTGAAAAGAAACATCCTTAGCCAGCACACACCATTTAAAACAAACCCTGAATCAAATCTAGAGAGGACAATAACGTTTTTAGATGTCTTGGTGAGTGAAAAATAATGGCTGTTTTTATTTAATTTGAGTTTATTTCTTTTTTAAAAACTAACTCACAGAGAGTGTCTTAATTAACATAGGCATTTACACCCAGGCTATCTCAACCCCCCCCCCCCTACATCTGGTTGTGTGTGTGTGTGTGTGTGTGTGTGTGTGTGTGTGTGTGTGTGTGTGTGTGTGTGTGTGTGTGTGCGTGTGTGTGTGTGTGGTGTGTGTGTGTGTGTGTGAATTGTTCTTAAAGGTAAGGGTTAGATAATTTGGAGAATTTTGCAGTCAAACTGGGGAAAATCTGCCACTTCCTCACAGAGCCCCTCCTCCAACACACATGAACGCGCACATGACCAAAAGAGGCGCGAGATAAGTTTGTGCACAGACCCCCGCATTGCTGCTGCTGCATTCGTTTCTTGACTGACGCTCCGGACGGATGCGGTAAGCTGTCACAGACTGATTAAACCCCATTCGAGGCTTCTCTTGCCATTTTTCTTTTTTGAAAAGGTGACTGGGTAAATGGAATTGCTGTCTTTTTATTTAGTTTGCGCATATTTCTACCTAATTCCACCCCCCACTATCTGCCTGCGTCATAGCCCGGAAGGAGGGGAGAGGCTAGGAGGGGGCTGGTAGACAGTCTCACCTAACTTCAAGAGACACCTAAATTAACATCAGAGGTTTATAACACACCAGTGTGAAGTCACACCGGCCTGTTATAACACCTCATAGATTAGACTTCATAATTAGATTATACAACTCTGAGGGGACAGGGGCCAGACAGCATAAAGAGACTGCTTTAATCAACACCTAAATTAACATCAGAGGCTTATATCACACATACCTGCTATAACACCTCCCGGCAAAGGACTAGACTACAAAAGCACTACACAGGGGGGCATTTCACACCTACGTGTGATGATACCTCACCCCTCACATCAAAGGATCTCACACCTACGTGTGAATTCACACCTAGGTGGGACATCCACCTCGAACAAAGGGAGGCGGGACTTAGCTCATTAACATAAGTAGGGAGAGGTGTGACCTGTCACACCACCTGTCACTTTTCTTGCATACTAATGTGATTGAAGCGGCATCAGTACTACTACTACTATATGTACCAAATATATGCAGACTGCTGCAATAAGTACATTAATTAACTGTCTCATCGATGTTTGTCTGAATGAATATGATACTATTAACAATCATATTATTCCTATCAGCTGTCAATCACTGTTAATAAATAATAATAATAATAATAGATTGAATTTGTTAGCGTTTTTACAGGTGCTCAAAGACGCTTTACAGATATAGGCTGTGTCCCAATTCAGCGGCCGCATCCTCCTGAGGATGCATTCGAAGACCGCATACGTCACGGGGGCTGTCCCAATTCAAAAAAAAGACAAGACTCCTCCTAATGCAGCCCACAAATGCAGCCTTCTATTCCCAGATTTTGAGGATACATCTGATGTACACTCCGCGGTCTACCATATCCCAGGATGCAATGGGCGTCGGTGACGAGTTTTTTAAAGAAAATGGCTTCGAACGTCCCGGCAACAGCTGTTGAAGCTTCGGCGGGAGCCGGATTTATTTTTAAATGTAAGTATAGGGTTTCAACTCACCCAAATAGTAAACGACATGAAATAGTAAACCGATTTAACTGTTTTATTTAAAGATACGGGCGATTGGAGATGTCTTCTTTATATTACATACATAAAATAATATGAAGTGAAAATATTTCGACATGTTGTAAACCAGAACCATGGTTTTCATATTGTTGGGATTCATTATAAAGCTAATTTATTTATTTAACTGCTTTTGTTATACAAATCATACTGCAACAATTTGTTTTGATAGGGAGCAAGGAGCAGACTGCCGCATTTATAAAAATGCGTGGGGAGAACGAAGCCCTCTTCACCGGGGCCAAATTCTCCGCCAACATCGCTTGGAGGTAACGCACAATATCTAGTTTGTATCGTTCTTATTTTATGAATCATCCCTCATTTCATACACTCCATTCTAATAAGACAACTAGTATTGTCTAGTACCGGGACTTCTGATTTTTACCCATCTGCGTACTGTTAGTTCTTACTGCTTACCGGCACCTCATGACGCATCTAGGTACGCATATTTGTTGTGTTTATGCTTAGTTGCAACTCCCACCCAGTAGTAATATTATATTATAGTAGTATATTTTTAATTACTTAATCAAATATATGAGGATAAGGATAGAGGGAGTCGTATGTTGTACAGATTATAAAGACCTTTGAGCCAAATTCTTGTTTTTGGGCTGTATACATAAAATGTAGGCTACTTGAAACAGTTGCTGATTTAGAGTACTGGCACCTTTTTTTATTCCAATTCAAGCACTGGGGATGTCTCCATGCCACCATTAAAAAAGAAAGAGAAGATTTCTTCCTAAGTGTGTATCCTTAGTTGTGACATTGTTATTGTTTTATTCATAATACTAGATGTTGTACTATTCTCTCTGTGATTAGGACGGTTTTGGAAGATATGGGCCTGCAGGGAAGTGTAACTCCCCTGCAAGCGAAGAAGTGGGACAATTTAAAAACAAGATATAAAGTATGTGAGTTTTACAAGTTAATAAACATATTTGCTGACATTTGTTTATCTGCTGGTGTTTTTTTTTGTAATGCCATGATTGTTTTACTCTGCCTTTAGGATTGCAAATACCCAGGGTCAGGAGAGGGAGTCGGTGGGAAACCCACTGCTGCAACTTGGCCGTGGTTTGTCCTAATGGATGAGATATTAGGACAGAGGCCCTCTATCTGCCCGCCTGTCCTAATATCCTCTATTCAAGAGGACACTCCGTGGCCAAGTTCAGCAGTGGGCGACCAAGAGGAGGACGAGGACGAGGATCATGTTGAGGCAGGGCCATCCCGGCCTAAAAAGCAAAAAAAGGAGGGGCTAATGGACCTCATCAGAGAGGACATGAAGCAGCAGAGGGAGGAGAGCAGGGAGAACATGAACAGGCTGTTTTCTCTCCTCGAAAGATTAGTTGAAAAATAAATAATAAATGTAATGAGCAATATGAAACTTATAATTTATTTGATGGAACAACATACAAATAAAACAATATTTAAACTATATACACATTCAGGCTGAGCAGGGAGTCCCAGGTGGTGCTGCTGGACCTGGCTGCCACAATTAAGACCCTGGTGTCCTCTGACGGTGGGTGGGGCATCATGCAGGGTGGTCTCCAGAGCTGTTGGGGATGCTTCTCTCCACAGTACATCGGATTGTCCATTAGGGCTAGGGTTCGCAGGGCGGACGCAATCGACGGCTGCCATGTCACTAAGATGTTTTCAGCAGCAGATAAGAACAAAAGATGTATATAAATATTGCACAAGGTTATTTTATCACAGCTCGTCAATTGTTTTACATACCTTTACACATAATCGTGGTCACCAGGAACCTCCTCCAGGGCAGACACCTCCGCAGACAGTTGGTCTCGCCAAGGAGCACCACTGACTGCCTCCAACACATTCTCCCCCTCATCCTCCGCTACATCCTCCACAATGTCCTCTTCTGGGGCCATGATGTCGCCGGCCCCAATGCAGATGTTGTGGAGGACGGCACATGCTGTTATGATCTGAAATTAAAAAATTGGCAGAAATATATAAATATATATATATATGTTATACCTCATGTTAGATCTACTCTTCAGTATTATCAAAATGTCCTAATAAGTGATTACTTACTTGAGGAACAAAGGTGTGGTGCACCTCCAGCGCTTGCAGGAAGATACTCCTGAATCGTGTCTTCATCACCTCGAAGGCACGCTCGATGATGGAGCGTGCCCGGGAGTGATGGTTGTTGAAGCGCTGGGGTCCCACACCTTGCAGCGGCCGTTTGTAGGGAGTGATGAGGGGGAGTGGATGTTGGAGGCAGGGGTACCCCCCATCTGCGAGGATATAGTAGCCTGGAGGAGGGTAGAGTGCCCGCCGATAGAGTGGGCTGTGGCGGAGCACTCTAGAGTCATGGACTGACCCAGGCCAGGCCACATACGTGTCGATGAAGCGGCCCTGATGGTCACAAACAGCCTGCAGCAAAATGGAGCTGAACAGTTTTCTGTTTCTATAGCAGTGACCATCAGGGCCACTTGGTGGCACGATGCGGACATGGCAGCCGTCGATTGCTCCAGCAGCTTTTCTGAAGGCTCTGTGTCTGGCCAGCCCTGCGAACCCACGCGACACAGCCTCCAGGTCTTCTGCTGTCCTGGGGAGGTGGATGACCTGGTGGCGAATGGCCACCACCTCCTCAGTCACTCTGTGGACAATCCGATGTACCGTGGATCTAGGCATCCCAAAAACTCTGGAGACCACCCTGTAGGATGTCCCACATGCCAGCCAGAACAGGAACACCAGGGTCTCAATTGTGGCCCCCCATCCATGTCTCCTGTCCTGACCCAGGAGTTCCATCAGCACCTTCAGGGACTCCCTGCTCAGCCTGAAATCAGGGCGTGTGTCCTGGTCATTAAAAAACCTGTCCAGGACAGGGACGCTGAGGTTGACCCTGCAATACAGGGGCCTTGGCTGGTAGAGGGAAAGGTTGAGAAAAAAGGGTTAAATAAGTGAAGAGCATTTTGTTCTATGTTTATACATATATCTATTGACATGTTTATATATATATATGTTTATTGATATATACACACACAAATATATACGTATATATATATATACTTATATATATACTCAAGCTATACTCAACCTGAAATACAATTTGTATCAGTATTATGCTAATAACATTACTGTTAGCTAAAAATACAGTACATACATATATTCTGTGTTTGTGTATAAATATATCTCTATAGACATGTTTATATATACACAAGCTATACTCAACCTGAGAAATAACATTTTAAACATGTATTATAGGCTAATATTAACATTACTGTTAAAGATACAGTACATATATATTTTATTTAATATCATATGATAATAGATATAAGTATCAGTACCTGGACATGGTCTTCCATTAATCTGAAATAGATGGTGCGCCTGGTGTGACCTTGGGAAATTAATGTCAACATATTGAACATCACCAAAAAAAGCACTATCTCTGACTCCATATTGAACCGTTTGAAAATATTTTGCCTAATGTCAGAAATTATTACCGGCACTTTTTCTGACTGCAGCTGGTTGCTAGGCGACGGGGGCGGCAAAAGGTAAGGATAACTGCCGGTGACGTACCAGGAAATGCTCCGTAGACCGTCTCATTTCGAATTCTGAGGAGGACCCACGTTGGTTGGGTCCTCCGCAGAATTCAAAGGCTGGGTCCTCAGGAGGATGCAACCGCTGAATTGGGACACAGCTATAGTGAAGAACTGTTATGATTCACATATTCATTTATTCTTGAATAAACTATATTTTTTGGAGGAGTTAATGATGAATGTTCATCAAGATGCTTGCTCACCCTCCTTCAAATTTGAAAAACAAGTAATTATATCATTATTGGTATACAGTTACAACCTTGACTTTACATCAGAAAGAACAAACATTAAAGAAGTGACTAACTGCATCAGTTAGAGTTAAAAAAACGTGTATTCAGCTAAAACATCGCTGCAGTTATTATCCAGTGCAAGGTCCTTACCTACTGGCCTAGTTAAATCAAAGTGGTTACTTTCTGTTGGCTGGGCAGTGTAGTTTTACACACCGTCTTATTTTACTTTCTCAGGACTTAAAACTGTTTTTTGGGGGCAGACCCCCTCAAAGAAAAAAATATATATACGCATACAAGGTCATCATCTTAACAGTTTGTTATTCTCATCGAGTCATCCGTGAGCAGAGCATCAAGTTGGCGTGTCTATTACAGCTGAATGCGGCGATTACTATTTTGTTCGGTAAAACGCCTCACAAACTTATTAAGATCAACAGCTGTAGTGCATTTTGATTCAATGCTGAGTACAGCCAAACTTGACATTCTCTTCTCTGTCATTGTAGACCGCAACTACCTCATTCCTTCAGTGCTTGGGTCTGAAAGGCTTCTCGTTTTGCGCCGTCCCCCCGTTCAAGTGAATTCACCACCAATCATATTTCCACTCTCGCGCCAGGACCGGGGGAGGGGTTACATGACGTGCATATTGTGCTGCATTCACTTGCACTCGGACATTAGAGACTTTCTCTCATAAATGTCCGATGAGCCACAACTTTTCTTTCAAAACAAAGATGCCAACTGGGGTGGCAGCTGGGGTGGCAAGGCTATTGTTTAGGGTGGCAGTTGCCACCCCGGTAGATCCGCCCCTGGCTGTAGGTCTATTCAAATTGCATTCGGAGGCATTTTGATCTGACCGCGGCCGCGCTGATATTATAACGCGAGAGAATGTCCACACATTTAGTGTATAAAACTCCCCCACTACTTAGACTATTTCTTGCACCCCTCTAGCATAAGCCCGAATGGTCTCAACCATATTGCGTCAGTAACGTGCACTTGTTGTTACAGCTGAGCAGGATCAGTTTGTGTGTTATGGACACGACCGGTAGATTTTCGCAATCCGTGTTCTCAACATGCTTACTTTAACATACTTTTTCATGGTCGGGCTAAGGTAGGGCTAAGCCATTTCTTGTTATGGCTGTAGCCTACCCCAGCCATACCCTGGCGCCGCCACTGTTTACGCTGCATTTTCTATGAGGTAAATATTACCCGCTGGCGGATATGGGTATAAATGGCATTTTTTGGGCGATTTTTTCAATCTGACTTCATATTGACAATTGTTAACAACAGAGGGTGCTACATAACACACTTTCAGTAAAAGTCACGGACTGGGAGAATTTAATATGTTATTGAAAAAAAGTTACATACAATCAAAAAACAGCTGCGGGTAAAATTTAGCCGTTGGCGGTTCTAATGTTAAGTAACCTTTCATCAATCATCAATAATTAACATTAATATAACGTCATATTGATAATGTACTCACTACGATTCTCTTAGGAATCTTCCTAACGTAGTGAAATGACCCGGAAGTCCCTCAGTGGCAGCCATGATAAGAGCCGTTTGAATTCTCTAGATGATAGGAAAGGACCTTTCAAACTTCCTTTATAACCTCCTTTAGCTTAGGAACCACTGGACCTTCCTTACGAAAGGTAAGGAGAAAATGCTGTCCCACAATGCCTTGCGTCCACAGCATTTGCCATCACACAACATTCGGCCGTTCATGGAAACAACCGATTATGACCGAGAAATAATATCATGAAAGTTACGGTGCTTATTAAGCATATTAAAACGTATGTGGTAACTTGCCAAAGTGCTTTGTTTTGAACGTTCATCAGTATTATAATCAAAAAGAGAACTAGAAAATGCATTTCCTGCAGAAAATGCGTGCGAATGCTGTAAACCAGTGACCACCAACTGGCGGTCCGCGGGCCACATCCGGCCCGCCAGACATTCTCATCCGGCCCGCGGTGACTGTGGCGTTGGCGGAGTGGTTACTGCGTTCGCCCCACACCCTTTCTTTTTTTAACAACGTCTCGTGAGTAAGGTGCAGTACCGGAGTCCAACAGAGAGGCAGCAGCTGCGGGACAGTAGACTGCGAAACCTTCCCTGCCTTGAAGAAGAAGGGATCCTTCGTTGTGAAGAGTCTGCTTTGTGCGCTCCGCAGCACAGCAGTAGCCCCGCTGCGACAGAGTCCAACAGAGAGGCAGGAGCTGCGGGACAGTAGCCTAGAAGCAGGGTTGGGTTGTAACGGAATATATGTAACGGCGTTACGTAATCAGAATACACAAATCAAGTGTATTCAGCTCGCGTTACATTTGAAAAACGAGTAATCTGATTACAGTTACTTTCGTAAACCTGAAGTGAATACATTTTGGAATACTTATTGGAATTATTGGTGGAAAAGTTTCCTCACAAAATGTAATATTCATTACCGGCATAACTGTGTGCACACTGCACAGCGCTGCAGCATGTCTGTGAGCGAGAGAGATGCAGCGTGTCTGTGAGGCCCCGCCCCCGCACGCAGATTAGAGAGAGAGAGAGATCTCTTTTAAAATATATTGAAAGTTAGAAACGGAGATGGTTAGATAAAATGTGCAAGATAACGTTTATGTAGCATTTCTTTATTGTCGAAATGATGACATTTCATAACGTCCTGTTACGTCCTGTCTGTTGGTTTGGAGAGGACTGAGGGTCTTTCCTCAGCGAGGAGGACCAGGCCTGATGGAGGAGCCCATGCTGGGCAAAGCTGATACCAACTGCACATGCCTAGTCTGTCACTTTATTTGACTAAATGTGTTTACTTATACATTTAATAGGTTTACACCTTCTGTCCATATGTGCTTTTTATTTAAAACATGTTTGATTAACTTTTGGTTCACATTTCAATAAATTGTATTTGTATTTGCACTCCTTTTGTCCATTATTCTTACTGAAAATGTTAGATTACACATTCACATCTGACTGAAGATTGGCCCCATTTATTTGTGACGTTGCAAACTCTGCGGTACAAGGCACAGGTGATGTGAAACTCATAAAATGAGGCACATAGAAATAATCAGCTGATGGAGTGTAGATGTGGAAATAGGTGCATTCGATCAGCTGACTGTGTTTTCACAATAAAAGTAGTTTCTTAGTGAATGTCCTGTACCGGTCTTAAAATCTCATAACATCAGCTTTTAATGTTCCTCTTGGATGTTCTTCTTGACCCTCAGAGAAGGAGAACATGTTGTGTCTTTCAGGCATGTCCTTTCCTAACAAAAATGACAGGAAACATAAAACATATTATTGCAGAACAAGTGTGTTATTTATGAAAGTGGTGTGTTTGTGTGTTTAGGGGCTGTAAATATAATTATTTTGTAATTGTAATGATTTATTTTATTTTAAAAGTAAGCTACAAAGACGATCAGATTATGAATGAACAGTATGAAGCTCATCAACATTGAAATATATGTTATTATCAAAATAATATTTAACTGTTATCAAAACGTAGTGCAACTGTAGAAGCTTGCTCTGTTGTCTCACTGAAAGAATCACTTTTACCACGTTTTTTTCAGACAATATTGAGAGATAAATAGTAGCAGTTCTCACTATGTGTTAAATATCTTTGCCTTCAATACATTAAATTAGAAAGCTGACAAAACCATATTTCTTTAGCCTTTATTTATACAGGTGTAGATCTCATTGAGACACAAGGTCTCATTTTCACACAATCATATTGCTTGTTAACATCTAAATGTAACCTTTTGCATGGAAAAACCCCTCAACTTAACTGATGTGTAGGTGATCTAGTATTTAGTATTGTTTAATGGAATGTATATCAGTGTATTCAAGTCAATACTTCATTTATTTAAACAAATATCTTTCTTGATTCTTTGTCCAGTATGAAAAATAGAGTCTTTGTACCTGTGCTGAAGTTCACTGCTGTGAGGAGTCCAGTTCTGTCTCTCACTCTCTGGTCCAGCCTGTCTGCATCACCTGGACACCTGTAGTGGACATTTTTATTATATTCCTTATATGTTCAAAGTAACCAAATGCTTCTCATTTGGTTAGATGTGCTGTTTGCCTCTTGTTACTCTACTTCAAGGCCACAGCTGCTATTATGAAAGACTCACACATAGTCACAGGAGAACTTGCCTTTCCTGAGATCTACAGCTCAAGGACATGTGTCTAATAACAATGTGACCGTGTGAAGACAGATTTCTGACCTTCCCACCCTTTCCTCAATATAAGCTTTGTTACCATATTGAACTGCGCACACTCGCGCAGACTATCCTATACTCTGTGAGACCTGTGTCTATATTTTTATTGTATCTGATGTTTGTTCGAATAAACATCACCAGAAAGACAACTCTGTCTGATTCACCATTTATTTGTTTTCTGACTTGTACTCTACAGTATTGGGTTTTTTAGATTTCCATAACAATTGGCGCTGCGAGCAGGGTCTCTGCAAGTTCGATTGGGAACACCTACGAACGCTGGTTGGTAGCTCCAGGATCCTCGGATTCCCTCTACCCCGCGACAAAAACAGTACGGGACGAGAGGACCAGCGGCGGGGGTGGAACTGATTGACTTCACAAGATCAAACGGACTTAAAAAGGCTTACCAATACTGGGTGAGATGTACAATGTCTAAATTGTTTAAAGTTAAACGTAATTAAAACTCCATGACATTTATGAAAGGGGCTGCTCGAAGAGGGTTTATCCCGTCGTAGATCGTGGGTTTACGATTAGTTTTTGCGTGATTTGTACTGAGAAACAAATATCACATAGGGTTTATCCCGTCGTAG